TTGGCCTCCCAAAGCATGAGATTACAGGCTGAGCCACCGAGCCCGGCTGGAAGGTTTCTTAATGTGAGGACTTTATAGTTGTGATCTAGCATTGACGCTAGGCACTGGGCACAGATGTATTTTTGGATGGGTGTCTCTTTATCATAATTGTTCTTCCCCTGCCATTTAGTGGTCATTCAGAAAAATTTCTTAAAATCATTCCTTTGTCACGTCCCAGAAAACTTCTGTTTAATGAATTGATTTTTTTTGTTCATTAAAGAAATATGTCAATCTATGAAAATATTATATTAAAATATCTACTTTTTGGCTGGCTTTGTACTTAAAAATGCAGTCAGACGTAGAATATAGTATATTTATTTAATTTTTTGCTTTTGTCTGACAATGAACAGCAGAGCCATATACTTTAGCTTTATTTTATAATTGTTCATTGTCAGTATTCAGAAATACAGTTGCTTTTTGGTATTTTGACTTGTGTACTTTGGCTGCTATATTTATTTATTAGTTCTAGAAGGTTTTTTCCCTAGTTACCTTACGATTTTCTTTGTATCTGATGATGTCATCTGTGTATAAAGGTAGTTTTATTTTTTCCTTTGCAATATGTATGGCTTTTATTTCGTTTTACTGCCCTGTTGATAGACAATCACTTACTGCTGATCAATACTTCTAGTACAATGTTTAATGTTGAAGGAATGGCCATCCTTGCCGTGTTCTTGATCTCAAGGTCTCAATGGAAAAGCAGTCTTTTACCAATAAGTATGATGTTAGCTTTAGATTTTTCATAAATGCCCTTTGCCAGGTTGAGTTACCCATTTGTTCTTAGTTTGCTGAGTGGTTTTTTTTTTTAATCATGAATTTTGTTTTGAATTTTGTGAAGTGCTTCTTCTATATCTTTTGAGATGATTATATCCTTTGTTCTCTTAACATGGTGAATTCCATTGATTTTTCAAATGTTAAAGTGACCTTGCATGCTCTGGATAACCTTACTTGATAATGATATTTTATCATTTTATATATTGCTAGATTGCATTTGTTAAAATTTTATGGAGATCTTTTTGGGGGGGCTTGATTAATGATTTATATCGTTCTGAAGTTTTCTTTTTTGTAATTTGTTTCTAGTTTTGGTATCAGGTAATGCTGGCCACATTAAATGAATTTGAAAGAGTATCCTTATTCCTTGTTCTCTATTTTCTGGAAAAGCTTGTGTAGGATTGGAATTATTTCTTTCTTAAATGTATGTTGAAATTTACCTATAAAAGCATCCTAATCCATATGTGTGTGTGGGGGAAAGTTTTAAAATTGTACATTCAATTCATTTAAAATGTGTAGGGCAATTCAGATTTTCTGAGTTTGTTGCTATTTTTCTGGTATTAGAAGTTGGCTGTTTTGTTATAACTCCTGAGTTAGGATGGTCATTACATTTTTTTTTGGAATTGGAGTTGGAGTCTCACTCTATCACTCAGGCTGCAGTGCAGTGGCACACTCATGGCCTCCCCAGTGGTCGACCTGTTGGGCTCTGGTGATTCTTCTGCCTCAGCCTCCTGAGTAGCTGGAACTATAGGTGCGTGCTACCACGCACAACTAATTTTTGATTTATTGTAGAGACAAGGTCTCACCAAGTTGCCTGGGCTGCTCTCAAACCCGTGGGCTCAGACAATCCATTCAGCTTGGCAACCCAAAATGCTGGGATGACAGGCTGAGCCACTGAGGCTGGCCGGTCATTACATTTTCAAGGGGTTTATAAAGAAATAATAACACAAGCAAATATGTGATAGAGACCATATGTGCCCCACAAAGATAAAGAAAAACCTGCTGACCCCTGATCTAAGTTGTCAAATTTATTGGCATGAAGTTGCCATAATATTTCCTTATCGTTATTTTATGTCTGTAGATTTGTAGTGATGCCTGCTTTTATTCCTGATATTTATAATTTGTGTCTTCTTTCTTTTTGATCAATCTTAGCTAGAAGTTGATCAATTTTGTTGATCTCTTCAAAGGACCAGCTTAAAACATGTTTAAGAGCCTTTATTCTAGAGCTAGTTTAGCTATATACTCCTAAGGTGTGACTTTTTGGAGTCTCTTCTGAATGTCTGATGCTTAACAAGGCCTCCTGTCTCTGCCGCATCAGAACTTGAATTCCTCCTACTCTTGTGTGAGCTCTGAGAATTTTGTAGCGTATAGCTTCCAAATCATTTTCTATCAGGTCTTGGGAAGTTTAACTGTACGCTTGCATGTCTTAGAATTAAGCAACAGACCCAAGGAGACCCCTTATGCAGATTTCTGTACCCCATTCGCTCTGTAGCACCATCTAGTCTGGTGTTCTGCCCTGTAAATTCAAGTTGTCCTGCCTTCCCTGAACTTTGATTTCTGCTTCCTTAGTTCGGTGAGATTTCTGATTTCTTGGGTTCTCCCCACAGCAGGATGGGGTAAGGACCCTTAGGCAGAAGGCCTGGGGAGTGCAGGCTCCTCTTCATTTGTTACCCTTCTCTCCAGAGAGAGATGGCTGTCCTCCCCTGCCTGTTGCCCAGTTCTTAGATACAATTGTTTCATATATTTTTGTTCAGCTTTTCTAGACTTTATGGTGGAAGTAAAGTTCAGCTCTAGTTCCTCTATTATGACTGAATTTGCCAGGAGAATTGTGTACATTGAAAATAAACTGTTGGTAAATTTGATTTTGGTGGGGGGGAGTAGTTAATTGACCAAGAGGATTTTTTTTTTCAGTGAAAGAATACTGAATCTCTGTATAGAGTTGGGATTGAGTGTGTGAGAAAATTTTAGATGTGTAGGAAAACTTTCTATTCCTATTCCAACTATGGATAGTGATTGAGAATTATTTTCTTAATGATAACTATGCAAAAAGATGGCCAAGATGAACTTGATTTGGGAAATTTTTTTTTTGGCTGTTACATATCAGAGTAATAGAACAATCTCAATACTCGCCCCATGGAGTACTTAATTTTGAACAATTTATCTTTCTCAATATATTAGGATAAATTGTGAGAGGGACACCAAGAAAGGGCTTAAAGGGGGTGTAAAGGTATTGGTTATATTCTATTTCTGAAACTGTGTGTTGGTATGTGGCTAATTATTTTATCCTTTATGTCTTGTATGTGTTATAACTATTATTTGTATGTATTAAATGTTTAATTAAAAATGTGTCCTGAAGTTTTCAACTAACTTGACATAACAGCATGTTATTTGATGGTCAGTTTGGGGGCTGCTTGCCAAACTATCTTGGAAAAGTGGGTACTAAGCCATCCTTTCCGTTAGGCGCCATGTTGCTAAGTCGGCAGCTGTGAAGACCATTATTTGTTTCTGATAGTTAATGTTGGTGTCAGCATTTGAGAGGATACTATCTTCTGTTTTCTGTGTTTGAAGATGTGAATTCAGAGACTTTAAAATTTTGCTCTTAGATCAGTGAAAGTATCATTAAAGGCCTTGCTCGGTGGCTCAGTTTGTAATCCCAGCACTTTGGGAGGCCGAGGTGAGTGGATTGCCTGAGCCCGCGAGTTCCAGACCTGCCTGGGCAACTTGGCGAGACCTCATCTCTTCAATAAAAATAAAAAAATTAGCTGGGCGTGGTAGCGCACACCTGTAGTTCCAACTACTTGGAAGGCTGAGGCGGAAGGATTGCCGGAGCCCAGCAG